TAAATCGGACGAGGATGAGGCAGGACTGCAAAGAGACCTGGAGAGGCTGGACATGTGGTCCAGTAACTGGCTCCTCGAATTCAATCAGCCAAATGCAAAGTCATGAAGATTGGGGAGGGGCAAAGAAGACCGCAGACAGAATATAGGCTAGGTGGACAAAGGACTACAGACCTCACTCAGGGAGAAAGACCTTGGGGTGACCATAACACCGAGCACATCACCGGAGGCACACATCAACCAAATAACCGCTGCAGCATACGGGCGCCTGGCAAACCTGAGAATAGCGTTCCGATACCTTAATAAGGAATCGTTCAAGACACTGTACACTGTGTATGTTAGACCCATACTGGAGTATGCAGCACCAGTCTGGAACCCACACCTGGTCAAGCACGTCAAGAAGTTAGAGAAAGTACAAAGGTTTGCAACAAGGCTAGTCCCAGAGCTCAAGGGAATGTCGTACGAGGAAAGGTTAAGGGAAATCGGACTGACGACACTGGAGGACAGAAGGGTCAGGGGAGACATGATAACGACATACAAGATACTGCGGGGAATAGACAAGGTGGACAGAGATAGGATGTTCCAGAGAGGGGACACAGGGACAAGGGGTCACAACTGGAAGCTGAAGACTCAGACGAGTCACAGGGACGTTAGGAAGTATTTCTTCAGTCATAGAGTTGTAAGCAAGTGGAATAGCCTAGCAAGTGAAGTAGTGGAGGCAGGAACCATACATAGTTTTAAGAAGAGGTATGACAAAGCTCAGGAAGCAGAGAGAGAGAGGATCCAGTAGCGATCAGTGAAGAGGCGGGGCCAGGAGCTGAGTCTCGACCCCTGCAACCACAATTAGGTGAGTACAATTAGGTGAGTACACACACACACACACACACACACACACACACACACACACACAAACACACACAAACACACACACACACACATGGTGCTCCCGTACTTATTATTGATAAAAAAAATACCAAACCCTGTTCATATGCTCCATCACTTTATACTTCCTTTTACACCTTTTCAACCGGAAATGGTACGATGGTGCGTTAACTCTGCAGTGGAAGACTAAAGAAATCCTTCCATTTTGAGAAATGGTACCTCAGGCAAAGACACTGTATTTAGATTCATTGCTCTTTCCAGTGTTACTGGTATATATTGGAGCTTCTAGTTATCAAGCGCCTTGTATGGTTCTTAGAAACCCGAAAATATCTTTTATCTTCTCAGTAGTACCAGTACCAGTAACCAGTTACCATTGTTAGTAGTAGTGACACACTACCAACCATCTGTGTGAATCACTTGTTATTCACTGTTGCAGCTGACTCTAGCATGTTTTTGAACGCCACTCACCCTAGGCATCATTCGTGAGTTAGTTATAAGTAAGTAAGTAAGTTTATTCAGGTATACACAAATACAGTTACATAGAATTATCATACATAGCAGCATATGTGTAGAGAACCTGGGATAACCCAAAAAAGTCAGACACAGTGACTTATTTCCATTGGGGTCCTTTAAAGTAGTTGTAAAGATAGGGAGCAGAGAGGCAGGTCAGGCTGGGCGCTTTCCATATATTCCGTTTTAATTATACTCCATTATTGCCCATGTGAGTATCCTTTACCCAATCCATGTTACCAAACCCAATGGGACAAATTGGTGGCAGCAGTGGGGGCGTGGATTTAAGGGTATTTACGCAGATATCAGAAGACTAAGCCGGGTCAGTGAGTGCTGCAGTACCCCATGCCAGCCTTCTGTCTCTTCCTCACCCGCCTCAACCAGTGTCACTCCAGCCTGCAAGTCAGTTGCAATCCCCTCTCAAGCTTCCTTGAGTTGCAATCCCCTCCTCAAGCTTCGAGTGGTTGACCCGGATTTTGCAATTAAGCCAGCCAGTAAGCCAGTCTGTGGAAGAGAGTGCCAGTCAGCCTGCCTCAGTCTATCATCCAGCCTGTCTCCTGTCATCCACCTGCTCCTTCATGCTGTGTGCATTGTTACATGTCTTCCAGTCAGCCCTTCTCGTGGGTTAACCCAGTAAACCAACTCAGCTTCCTCACCCAGCTGAGAGAGAGAAGTAAGCCACGCAAGTTCCTCTTGAAGTATTATCTCCAATATTGCTTTCTGCTACCAGTTGGATGCTGGTAAGAGTGGTCTTCACCATCCCTGTGGCATATTGTGGCTTAGTTTAAGCCACCTGGGTTTTCTCATGAGAGGTGAGATTAGTGAGTGGCAGTGCGCACCAGTGGGCTTGGTTGCTACTCACACCACTCACCCACTCCTCACCTCATCTACCTGTGGTGTTCTTCACCTTTCTACCGCTCACACTGGGTCAAGAGCTGTACTTCACCTGTGTTTCACCTTAGCGCCACCGTTAAAAGCCTAAGTGTGTGGGTCTTCGGAAAGCGCTCTTTGCGATGACAACAGTGTTAGTGCAGGACGAATCGCCTGCCCACAGGACCACATCTTCCCATCACCACCCGTCACCGCGGTCCACCACTGCTTCCAGACTTCAGTGATAATTTTCTGTTTAGAGACGTTTTTCTCTGCATTTAAAGACATTTGCGTGTGTGAGACATTTACAGTGAATTTCTTGTGTACTCTACACCTTATGTTTCCAGTGTAGACTCAGTGTTTTCTTTGACTCATTATTGTTGCATTATTTTTCAGTGTTATCGTTCATCTTTTGTGTTTCATTTTGATATTTTTATCTGTTTTTTTTTATGCTATTCTCTGCCTGTAGTATGATTTTGTAGTGTACAAGTTTATTCCTTATTTGTATTTTAGTCCTTACCACAGTCATTCACTCCGTGTAAAGTAATTCATTCATTTTTTTCCCTTGTATTCTTTCACTATTGTATTCTCCAGTAATTGTCGTTATTGTAATTCATGCAGTGCTATTCACCACAGTATACCAAATTACCCATTTATTTCTGTGTGTACCATTTTTTCCTATGCCCAGCAGTGTCTCATTCCCTTGATTTTTTTGCAGACTTGTACAATTTTTTATGCAAGCAATTCTTATCATCTCTAGTTTGTATTAGCTGCATGTCGGGACGACATACGTTAGCGTTGCCGAGCACTCAGTAGTACCAGTACCAGTAACAACATTACCAGTGTCCGTAGTAGTGACTCACTACCAACCGTCTGTGTGAATCACTTGTTATTCACTGTTGCAGCTGACCCTAGCATGTTTTTGAATGCCGCTCACCCCTAGGCATCATTCGTGGGTCAGTTGTAAAGATAGGGAGCAGAGAGGTAGGTTAGGCTGGGCACTTCCCATATATTCCGTTTTAATTATACTCCATTATTGCCTATGTGAGTATCCTTTACCCAATCCACGTTATCGAACCCGACAGGATGTGAGACCTTTGGGCTTGTGAGGTCTCTAGGGAGACCTCACGAGGACACTCTTATCAATTTAATTTTTGAAAAGTTGGTTCTATCCTGCACCCCTTTCCCCTTGCTGCATCTTCATACATTCCTCCAGAATGCCTTTATTGATAACCATTCAGTAACTGCTGTTCTTTTTTTGATCTGGAAAAAATTTACGACACTACCTGGTATTAGAACATTTTATTGCAAGTCCCTTCCTTATGCCTATTGAGTAAATTACAACTTTTGTATCAGAGGCACTTCAGTGTTCGTGTGAATATCAGATTTTCCCATGAATTTATGCTAGTAGAAGGCGTTCCAGAAGTTGTTTTTTAGTTTTGCCGCCTGAGCGATTAGTGTAATGTGCATCACCATGCTCGTCTTATGGGCGGCAACCTTTAATGAGGCTACGGCATGTCCTACCTCATTTCTGATGGCTATTAATAGTTATACCTTGGTTTTTCCGACAAGTATCTGGTGACCTAAGCTTAGTATTTCTTTATGAATTGTGTGACTGGAACGCTTGTCACTTCTCTACTCACGGATATGTTAATTTGACTGAGAAAGTAGCTGCAGCCCCTTGGCCCACTACAGTACTTTAAGAGAAGGCAGCCATCTATCGTCTTCAGTGTTCCGTGGGTAGACCATCCACTGGAAGATCCTGGTTGGTTGTAAGGCTGCACGCAGGTGTCTCAGACGTCTCTCCACACACTTGATGTGATTTTAATGATATTCACGTTACCTTTACTTACTCCATTCATGTTGCGATTATTTAACAAATGTAATGTAATAAAATAATTCCTGCCATATGACCGCTTTTATGTTCATTTCCTGGTTAATATTTTTCTGTCCTACTTTTCTACAAGGAAAATCCCAACAGCTCTTACTTCCCTCAACAACAACAACAACAACAACAAGCAACAACAACAGCAACAACAACAGCAGCAGCAACAACAAACTATTATTATTATTATTATTTTTATTCCCCATGAATGTGTTAATACTATTATTATAAATCAGTAACGCGGTGATGGTGTAACTTGAAACTGGAAGCAATCTGGGTAGTGCACTTTTTATTTTATGCAATCCTGTAATTGACTAGGATGCTAATCTTACAAATACAAAAATTTATTTCTTTGCAAAGGTTACAATGTGTGATTATATATCATAATCTGAGTGGTACAAACAAAGCCACTATCATGCCGCGGAAATTCGGGCAGTACAGAGCATTTCATCTTATTTATATGGGCCTGGCTTCCCTTTCCATGGATCAAACCTGATTATCTTCCATTTTCTCAGGGGCTTCATAACCTCTACAGGTTTAGCACTCCCCATAAGTGTAATAATAATAATATATAATAATAATAATAATAATAATAATAATAATAATAATAATAATAATAATAACATGTAAATTTAAATGTGCGCTGTTATTTTAAATTAGGATTGTATGTGTTCAAAAGTACCTGAACTGTGAAAATCTCACGTATTTTTAGCTTATCTCACCATTTTCAGGAAGCAAGCTTTGGCAAGCTAGGAAAGCCACCTGACATGGTGAATAAAAAATAGTAACGGTACGAGAGTTTTCCTTGTTCACGCTGCCAGTGCAGCTCTCAGTAGAGTGTGTGTGTGTGTGTCAGTTGGTATCTCAGCGTCGCTGAGATCTATCACTGAGGTTGGGTATTTGATGGCCAGTTGTGGTACAAGTCACAGGTGATATAAGTAAATCTCGCATTTTCGCTACTAGTAACTTACCCTAATTGTGTTAGGAATGATGTCTGTAAGTGAATATTCCTTGACTACTACAGCTCATTAAGTGTTCGTGAAACTATATCAAGAAATACACACATATTGGTGATTAGTGCACTGATACTGAAAACTGGTTATGAAAGTTAGAAGAATAACTACAGGTATTGCAGTCTGATCTTCCTATAACAACCAAGAGTCACTGCAATTTTTTAAAGGATTCTTACGCAGCATAACATATCCAGCGTGAAAATAGTTAAGTCAGAAATTTAAGCAAGTCAAAGAGATCATCTAGAGCAGCCGTCCGTCAGGTGTAGGTGAAGACGTCGTCAGTGTCTCCTGATGACCAAGCTACCCCAGGTCTCCAAGATGGGTGTCACTGTACCTGATGTGGTCCAGATGTTTGCCACAAGCATTTGTGACACCCAACCCATCGCCAGGAAGGTGAGAATAAGTTTTCTTGTGTGTAATATTAATCTATTTTTGTACTCGAATACTTATGGTTGTATAGAAAAAATGTGCATCTTGTAGGTGTTCCCATTTTTTTTAACTTCGCTTATTTTGTTGAATAAATTATTTGTATTATTACAGGTATTATTTATTATTATTATTATTACTACCAATATTGATATATTAGACACACGTACAACACTTGGGAATCTTTACTGTGGAAACGTTTCGCCACGCAGTGGTTTCATCAGTCCAATACAAAGAAGAATGGTGAAGATCAGAAGGATGTAATCAGTCCATCAAGATTGACGGACTGATTACATTGACTCCAGACTAAGGAACTGATTGCCTCAAACTCCTTGTTCTTCACCATTCTTTATATTGCACTGATGAAGCCACTACGTGGCAAAACGTTTCCACAATAGATACCATGTTGCACGTGTGTTTAATTTATCAACTAGTCGGTCCTCTGAATCATTTATCTAATTACCAGTATTATTAAGTACCCTCGAAGGGGTACCCGATAATGGTTGACTGATTTTTTTTCCTTCTAAGATTCTCGTTTATCTATGCCTCATTTGAATGGCTTCAATTGTCGATGACTAATGCAACTTTTTCTTTCTAAGGTTTTTGTTTGACTTTAGAACGCCTCATCAGATCAGTTTCAAATTTTCAGTGATGGTTTATTGTAATAAAGAAAAGCTTCATTGTAATTATTGGCATGACAGTTGCCCTCTGGTCACTGTTATACAGACCATGGGCCTTGGTGTCCACACAGTAACTTAAAGTCTATACTTAAAAGAAGTGTGTAGGTGGCATTTTGCCATTTTAATTTTAAAGGATGAAATATTTTCTCCAAAATATCTTCGACTGCCTCATCTGAATGTCAAATAAGTGGTTTATGTGTGAATTGTTTCTTTCGATTGACGGGTGTGCACTATTTAAAGGAAGGTTTGTTATCGGACTCATGACTCGCGAAATCGTAATGACACGATTGCAAACAAAACATACCATGGGTGGGGATAGAACCCGCGATCAGAGTCTCAAAACTCCAGACCGTCGCGTTAGCCACTGGACCAGCTAGCCACAATGAGATTCGTCCAACTAGGTATATTTCTACACCATAGGAAGGTTAGCATAGGCACCACTGTGACCTAGTTGGACGAATCTTATTGTGGCTAGCTGGTCCAGTGGCTAACGCGACGGGTTTTATTCCCATCCGTGGTATGGTTTGTTTGCAATCGTGTCATTACGATTTCGTGAGTCATGTTGACGGCTTTGAGGGGACTTGAGCTAGAGTTCGTCACGGCTACGCTAGCTGGAGATTCGTCTGTAAAAACTTGCATTTGTGGTCACAGTGGTGCCTATGCTAACCTTCCTATGGTGTAGAAATATACCTAGTTGGACGAATGTTATTGTGGCTAGCTGGTCCAGTGGCTAACGCGACGGTCTGGAGTTTTGAGACCCTCTGAACGCGGGTTCTATCCCCACCCGTGGTATATATTTTTTTTTTTTTTTTCGCCGGTATTCTCCCGGCCCGGGTCTTTTCCAAGTAGTGGTGACCCGGCCTTGGCTCCCTATCTGGGGAGTGTCTCGAGACTTAAGTCTCCCATGGGAGGAGGTACAAGTACCCCCTCATCTTTGGGACCAACTGTCCCCAGGCCTAGCCACATTCCCCGCCCTCACGGGGCTCGTAGGGAGAAGCTAGGCCTCTGGTCTGCCATCTACCCCGCCTCAGAGGGACTCGTGGGGATAAGAACATAAGAACATAAGAACGAAGGAACACTGCAGAAGGCCTACTGGCCCATGCGAGGCAGGTCCAAGTCTCCTACCGGCTTAAGCCAATGCACCCAACCTAGTCAGGTCAGGTCACATTGACTTAAGGGAGGAACACGGCAACCGACCTGGTAGCACAAGCTATCAGGTCTAACTCACACCCACCCACATCCACTCATGTATTTATCCAACCTATTTTTAAAGCTACACAACGTTCTGGCCTCTTTAACGGTACTTGGGAGTTTGTTCCACTCATCCACAACTCTATTACCAAACCAGTACTTCCTATATCCTTCCTGAATCTGAATTTTTCCAACTTAAAACCATTGCTGCGAGTCCTGTCTAGGCTAGATATTTTCAGCACACTATTTTACATCCCCTTTATTTATTCCTGTCTTCCATTTATACACCTCAATCATATCCCCCCTAATTCTACGTCTTTCTAGAGAGTGCAGATTCAGGGCCCTTAGTCTATCCTCATAGGGAAGGTTTCTGATACATGGGATCAACTTTGTCATCCTCCTTTGTACATTTTCCAGAGAATTTATATCCATTCTGTAATAAGGTGACCAAAACTGTGCAGCATAATCTAAATGAGGCCTAACCAAGGATGTATAGAGTTGAAGAACAACCTGAGGACTCCTATTATTTATGCTTCTTGATGGCAGTCTTATGAACTGCAGATGGTAGCAAGCTCAGGCCTTTTTCCCCCGTGGTATGGTTTGTTATCGGACTGTATAGATGCCAGTTTTACCACAAAAATTGCTGGGTATTTTTTTCTCTGATAAATTGGGAACGCCTCGTCAAACTGACTTCGACCTTTTAGTGCCGATACATTTATTTTCCTTAGAGAAAGATTTGCCATGTTAGTTGGGGTTGTAAGTCCCAGTTTACAAATTTGACTAAATATGGAGATATTGTGATATGTTATCACCGGAGAATTTTTTTTTAACTGGCTTTAATCCTCGATACTGAGAGGAAGGTTTGTCTTATTGTTCCTAGACTAATTAAATGTGTTGATTTAAAGCTCCTGAGCCTTTTAAGGATATTAAGCTACAGGTGTTAGACTTGAGTGTTAAGTTAAACTACTGGTTATCTTCAAGGTGCTATTATTATTGTTACTTCTATATTAAGAACATAAGAACGAAGGAACACTGCAGCAGGCCTACTGGCCCATGCGAGGCAGGTCCAAGTCTCCTACCGGCTTAAGCCAATGCACCCAACCTAGTCAGGTCAGGTCACATTGACTTAAGGGAGGAACACGGCAACCGACCTGGTAGCACAAGCTATCAGGGCCAACTCACACCCACCCACATCCACTCATGTATTTATCCAACCTATTTTTAAAGCTACACAACGTTCTGGCCTCTATAACTGTACTTGGGAGTTTGTTCCACTCATCCCACAACTATTACCAAACCATACTTTCTATATCCTTCTGAATCTGAATTTTTCCAACTTAAAACCATTGCTGTGAGTCCTGTCTAGGCTAGATATTTTCAGCACACTATTTACATCCCCTTTATTTATTCCTGTCTTCCATTTATACACCTCAATCATATCCCCCCTAATTCTACGTCTTTCTAGAGAGTGCAGATTCAGGGCCCTTAGTCTATCCTCATAGGGAAGGTTTCTGATACATGGGATCAACTTTGTCATCCTCCTTTGTACATTTCCAGAGCATTATATCCATTCTGTAATACGGTGACCAAAATTGTGCAGCATAATCTAAATGAGGCCTAACCAAGGATGTATAGAGTTGAAGAACAACCTGAGGACTCCTATTATTTATGCTTCTTGATATGAAGCCAAGGATTCTATTAGCTTATGCACTGTTGTTTGGTTTCAGATTACTGCTAACCAGAACTCCTAAATCTTTTTCGCAATCCGTAATATTAAGATCTACATTATTTAGTTTATATGTGGCATGGTTATTATCCTGTCCAACATTTAGAACTTTGCATTTGTCTATATTAAACTGCATCTGCCACTTCTCGACACTGCATCAGTCATTCAATCTCCTGGAGTGCTCTAATGTCCTCGTCAGAATGAATTCGACGGCCTATCTTGGTATCATCGGCAAACTTGCTGATGTCGCTCTTTATGCCCCCATCTATGTCGTTTATGTAGATTGTGAACAGCAGGGGGCCCAACACTGACCCCTGTGGAACACCGCTCGTGACGCTTCCCCACTCTGATTTCTCCCCATTTATGCAAACTCTCTGCTGCCTATTTGTCAGTCATGCCTCTATCCAGGAAAAAATTTCTCCTATTCCATATGCCTTAATTTCCCAATGTCTCTGATGTGGGACCCTGTCAAAAGCCTACTGAAGTCCATATACACAATATCATATTCATTACCATGATCTACCTCCTCAATATACCTTAGTGAAAAAAGTTAATAAATTCGTAAGGCAGGAACGCCCCTTTGTAAACATGCTGAGATTCGTTGATTAATTTATGCTTTTCAAGGTGGCTACGAACTGCCTCGGCAATTATTGATTCCATAAATTTTCCCACTATGGAGGTTAGGCTTATTGGTCTATAGTTCGAAGCTAAGGGCCTGTCACCTGTCACCTGTTTTGAAAATAGGTATCACATTTGCCATTTTCCACTTATCTGGCACCATGCCAGTTTGTAGTGATATGTTGAAAGATTAGCCAAAGGTTTGCTAAGCTCCTCTTTACATTCCTTAGAACCCTTGCATACAGTTCATCAGGGCCTGGGGATTTGTTAGGTTTTAATTTATCTATTTGCCTAGTGACCATGTCACTTGTGACCCTAATCGTGCACAGTTTATTACCGTCCTGTTCTAGATAATTTATCATTTCTGGAATATCGCTGGTATCCTCCTGTGTAAAAACTGAGAGGAAGTATGTGTTAAAAATTCTACACATTTCCTTATCACTGTCAGTGAGCTGACCCTAGGAACTTTTGAGTGGGCCTGTCTTGTCCCTGATCTTACTTCTGTATACCTGAAAGAATCCTTTTGGGTTAGTCTTCGATTCTCTTGCAACTTTAACCTCATAATCTCTTTTTGCTTTTCTAATTCCCTTTTTTATTTTCTCTTTAACTGAATATATCGATTTCTTAATTGCCCCTCTCCTCTTTTGATTTGCCTATATATGCCTCTCTTTTGACCAATCAGATATTTTAATCTATTGTTCATCCATTTAGGATCATTTTTGTTTGATCTGATTTCCCTATTTGGAACATAA